GGAAACATAATAGAGAATGGGACTTTTAAAAGTGCTTCGAGATGGAGAATTTTTGTAACTTTTGCAAGTCTGAATTAAAAGACACAGCCCATTATGTAATACAATGCTCCATACATAAAGAACCATGAGATAATTTTCTCCTAAATAATGCTAAGAAAATGTTTGACCACCCCAAATAATTTAGAAACTTCCCTTTATCTATCAATGAGGACTTTCGCTTTACTCCTAGGTCAATTAAGACTCAAGCTAATATCTCTTTGTTCTCTCACAATTGACTAGTGTTTCTCAAAATATTAACCTTTGTATGTTTGTTATAATATTTTCAATTTATTTTATAATATTTTGGTATTTCTAGTATGATACCGTATATGTGCCAGTTAGTTTAACCTATAATTGGAGAAGTCCAAGAATGCCCAGATTAGTTGGTTAGTTGGCTTTATATTTGGAAGGCCCATACACGGCAACTACAGGTCCTTCTTACTGAGGTGTATCTAGCCACAATCAACACTTTACTCATTATCAAACTAAATATAAAAGATTAGTCTTTATTGGTGAACTAGTGTCTGGTTAATCACTATAATGAATGTATTAATGGATTCCCTTTGGTGAAAGTAAAGGAATTGAAGATATGTGTATTGGCTAAAACAGTTAAACACTCCTTACTCTTAAATGAACTGTACATAAGATTCCACTGAGGCCTGTATCCCATATCTTTTAGCGATGGGGCCCACGGTTTTATCCACAATCATCATTCTGTGTCCAGACATTGGATTAAGAGGACTGAATGACACTGACTAAAGGGCACAGAATCTTGCTCCTAGAATGTTGCTATGTCCACGTCAGTTCCACCTCAGTGAATATTACATACAGGGTGGGTGAAAGTATCTAAAAGATCAAAAGACCTAGGCCCTCATTGAGCTTACGGAATAGGTTTTGTTCCAGATTTGCTAATGAGGGATTATCTAATAAATACCTAAATGTGTGATAAAATTTGGACTTAGACTTGCTTTAATAAAAGCAGGTTATAATAATAACCTGGTAGTGAGGTTGTGAGAGACAGAAGCTATCTCCCAGCTCTTTGAAATTCTTGGGTGGTTATCCTTATCTAACTAAAAAACCAAGAGTTTTGCCAAATTTGTCTTCTATCAGTTAAAAAGAGTGCTATGAAATCTTCAATATGATAAATCCTTTAAATCCTTAAAGTCCTTTGAAGCAAAAGCAATATATGCTTTTGTCATTAAGAAAAACTATTCTCTGAATTTATGTTTTCAAAACAATCTTTGCTTTCTGCAAAACAGTAGTACCAAAAATAGTCTACTCAGCTCAACAAAAACACTTAAAGGTGTAAAGGAAACTGTTTACAAATAAATAACATTTGAGCAATACAAAGACATCCTGGTTGAAAGTTTAAATACAAAAAGAGATAAAAGGGAAATACCACTTTATGGGAAAACTCAAAATATAATGAAGTGGGTTATAATTTAATTTTACAACTGCATTTTAAGAGAAGATATAATAAAATGTACTTGGTTCCTTACTTTGTTGCCAGCAATTGAATATACAGTTAAAAAATTTGAATACATTTATTTTATGCAATGGATTATTTCAGCTTGTTTATATCTCAATTCAAAAGGAAGCAGAGATACTCAGTAGCAAGATAATGAGGTCAATTATATTTCAATAAGCAATTCAGAGAAAGGCCCTCATATGACACTTCAGAACTATTCTGTACATCGACATCAGATACCAGCTTTCATACAAACTAGCCATGACAATTCACTGAAGCAGTATCAAATAATTTCTTCATCAAGAAGCTCTCTTAGATGTTTACACTTTCTAAGATGGGAATACTAAAGCATCAATTAAAACTTATCAGGGAAGTCAAAGATACAAATCTGATCAATGAAAAAATGCCCAGAGAAGCAAAGGGATCCTATACAAAGCCAAAATAAAATACTTTAGTCATCGAACAATATTTTACAGTTTCAAAAAAAGTTATTTGTAGTTTATGCACATCATAAGTTTATACAGACAACATACTTTGTACTTCTTTTTTTTTGAGGCACCATTAATCCCAAATACAGTCAAACAGATGTAGTCTTTCACATACCAAATTCTCATATATAAATACAAATAGAGTCAATCTAATTCAACTAATAAAAAACCAGATTATTTCCCCTAGAAAATGTGATATTGTTTTGAGTGACTAAGAATAAAATTCCAGGATTTTGTAATTTTCTCTTCTAATCACTCTAATGTGAATTGTCCTAGGATTGTAAGAACATCTACTCAGAGCTAGTAAAGCAAAATTAATATAGCATAAGGACAAACTAATACTCTCTTATTTTCTTCATCAATACTACCACTTACTACCCACTCCTCCCCAAATGCATCAATAACTATAGCAGCAAAAATTAGCATTAGTCAATCTGAAACAAAACCACTTTGGTTGCAAAACTACACAGAAGCTATTCTATAGTTAATTAGTTGGGGAGAAACTACATCAACCTCTTATTTTGGTAGTAAGTCAATACCAGCCCTTCCTCAAAATAAGAAATGAAAAGTAAACAAAATTTATCTTGTCTTTGATATTCATAATATTTGCAGATCTCAAAAGACATTATTACAAAAAAAAAAGAAGACATTGAAAACCTATGAAGTTCAAACTGGGCAGACAGAATGTAGTTTTTCGAGATAATTTTAGTTTCTGAATATACCTGGCATTTAGACCTACACAACATGGTGGACACTAGCTGCATGTAGCTATTGAACATTTGAAATGTAGTTAGTTCAAACTAAGATGTATCATAAGTATAAAATATACTCCAGATTCTGAAGACTTAACAAAGATTGTAAAATGTTACATTAATAATTTTATATTATGTCTTAAAATGGTAATGTTGTGGATATACTGAGGTAAACATTTTATATTAAAATTAATTTCATTGGTTTTGTTTATTTTTTAAATTTGGCTACTAATATAATTTAAATTACATATGTGGCTTGTATTTGTGTCTTGCATTGCATTTCTATTGTACATCAGTGATTTAGACCATAACCACTATGATGTGGAGTACACCTTGTAGAAATGTCTGTAGTACCATTTGGCTCAGAACTTATAAAAACTTTACCAAACAGCATGAAACAGTTTTAAAAGCATATTTTGTACTGTGGATAATGCAGTTTTTCATAGTCTAAGGAGAGGTATGTCAAGAGTGTTTGGAGGGTAAAAAATAACAGAAAAGGAAGAATGTTTGGTGAAAAAAACTTAAACTCTGAGCTCAAGCTGGCTCTAGCTTGACTTTTTCTGGTTCCTGATCCCAACAAACAATTCCTATTTCAGAGGAAAGCTCTCTTTTTCTGGGTGAAGGTTGAAGGGCAAGCAGTTAAAAAATTGGGACTAGGTATTAACCAGTGTATGAACATTGCTAAGAGATCTGAGGCCCAGCCCAAGTGAACCACCAAAGAGGAAAGAATGACATGAGTAATTTAATAATTCTTTAAGGTTTACAGTCCGTCTCATCCCCTTTATCTCTACTTCCTTCCTATCATTGCCTTGTTTCCCTTTTTCTTTTCTTACATCCATGTTTACCCTCATTTTTCATTCTGTTGGTTATTTTGTGCCTTCTTCTCTCCCAATTCTGATTGGCATCCCTCTCACCTTTAGTCATTCTCTCTCTCTCTTTTTTCTTTACCATGTATTTCCTTTTTAAAATTTGTATTAAATGTTTGTAACATGGACCTGAACTATATTTGAATAGTCTTTACTTTCTTTCAGATTCTTTCTTTTAGAAGAAAAGATATAGGAAATAAATGGAGGAAAATTAAACACTCAAAGACATGAAAGTAATTTTTATTTCTACAGGTTCCTTGATGGGGTTGTCATTTTTGATTTCTCCTTCAGGATTTCTGGCCTACTCTTTGGGCCCTTCCCCTGACCTAGGGCAATGTGGGCCAAGAAGAAACATTGATCAGAATCACTTAAAGCAGCCTCCTAGGTCCTACCTAGACCTAGAATTTGGACTCTTTTGGTGGGAATCACCAGTCTTAGGAACGTAGGTTAGCAAAATAAACAGACTATCCATTATCCTTGACATTAATACATGTCCTATGAATATATAATACATGAAAAAGACCTACTGAAGTGCACATGATTATTTTAAAATGATGGCTTATGGGAAAAATTTTAATTATTTGCTTTAGTATTTGAAAATTAAAAAGCTGAAAAATAACAGGCCTGAAGGCATGTGATTGATTGACAAATAAGTTATCAAAGTGGTGTTTAACAGAATCCCTTTGAGGCAGGGGTAAGTTAACTTCAAATTGCTATTATGGGTTTCTTAAAATACATTTCAGAATAGTAAAGACAATCATTTCTGGGAAAAAACATGGTTATTGAACTCATATAAATTGGTTCATTCATATAAACAGAAAACATACTTTTATATTCTGCTAAGTATCAAAAGACTTTTAGGTTAATCAAAAATTTTGAAAGGCATAAAATCTAAAGTAGCTTTTATCTAACACTTTCTTCAATTATTACCTATGGATATTTTTCAGGTGGATTTTCAAGAGAGATGTTACACTTGTAAGCAATTCATAGTTACCTTTTAGGAATCAATATGTTAATAAATTAGACCAAAACACAAGCCTTCTATGCTATTACAATTAGATCTTATTACCATTAGACTAATGAATCGAAACATGTGCTTTTGATATCCCAAGGTTTTGAACTCATAGAGCTTTGATATAATGTTTAATAAACACACATTTTTACTCTTATGAACAACCTCTCAACCCACAGGAAATTAAGTCAAGGGTATACACTTCTGAACTGGAGTAGACAATGCTTTTATTCAGAAACCAATAAAAAAATTTTGCTTTAAAATATAATTTTGTCAGAAATTCTCCATTTTAGAATGAATGTTTAGATTATCAATAACCAACTATATGCCAAAACATAAACACCCAAAAAGAATCAGAATAATCACCAGTCATACCTTATTATGTGTCTGAGTCTGTCCAACCAGTATGAGGATATTGGATGAGATGATAGACAGGCAGAAGTTAATTAGTATTATGGACCTCTCAGATCGTATGTACCTAGCCAGAGAGAGAAAAGTTGTCCAATTTTAAAATCCAACAGAAAGATGAAGAATTCTATATTGTGCAAGTTGATGGCATTCATCTGGAACAATAAGCACTGTAGCACAGGAATATTTACAAAAATAAAAAATATAAAAATAGTTCCTAAAATAAATAATTACTTTTAGAGACCCAATTTCATAGTGGTATGGCATGTGCAAGAGTCCTTCAGAATTTTTTTTTCTTATACATTGGTGGGACAATATAGCAATTCTGATAGAGCCTAAGTTGCCCATCTGTTGTCATGATACACTTTTTTTTTTTCTTTTCTTTTTCTTTTTTTTTTACTAAACGTATAAAACTTCTTGGAAATATGTCAATTAGTATAATACCTTTATACACATGTTTGTGTATGTATGTGTATATATGTTTAGCATTATCATATGAATCAACCAAAAGAAACTTTGAGAACCAAAAAGAAAAAAATCACACAAATTGTGAAGTATTATTGTTATTTACTAGAAAGATATCATTACTTTCATGAAACTGTGAACACTTTTATCCACTCAAGCATTTTAATGTAATTAGGTTGTTACTCTTTATATTTTTCCTAAATAATTGTTCAAAAAATGAATCTTTATTTCTAAAAATGAATCCAGTCCACAAATGATAATTCACTCTTAGGCGGAAAATCACTTGACATATGCCATATTTTACCCTTATGAAGAAGTGTTTATATACAGTCTGTTATATAGTTGTTAAGTGCACCAAGAATGTAAGCCATAGAGAAAACTGCTCAGAATCAAATGTTCTACCAGCTGTTTACCCTGAAAGAGTAACAGCTATTTTGCTTCACTGTATTCTGTGGTAAATCACTGACTGACAGTAACAAAAAGACACTGTTGTATTTGCTGTATGTTTAGGCCTGTTCAATTTCTCTTATAACATGGAATCACATTCTACAGCGGGCATGAGCTTTTCTATGCAGTATTACACAGGAGTGCCAGTGATCTGGAGGCACTCTGGAAGGTAAAAATCTATCAAACTTCTCTGTCTCTCTCTCTCTCTCCCTGTCTTTGAGGGCTATTAAGGTAGAATCCCCACATTTCATCACACATTTCCAAAAAGGACACAAGAGTAAGAATAACAATAAAATACACAAAGGAGTTTTTGTAATACAAAAAGAAATTCCCTTCAGTCACAAAACAAACTTAAATGGGACCAACTTAGATCAAATCTCAACACAAAATGGCCTTGGGGTTGCTGAACCTTGTTCCTGTATCATCAGCGCAAACAATAGAATAAACCACACACTGAGATGCTGAAGACATCATCAACTATTAAGTTGTCTCTTTTTTTGTGGCTGGGGAATATTATATAAAAAGTTAAGGGGCTTCATATAATTAACCCTCTGTTTGATGTTAATGGCTTCCATGAAAGCACAAACACACAGACATTATGAAAAGGGTTTCAGTGAAACTTTCTGTTTTGTAAATAGACAAAAATACGATAATGAAATATCCAGAACTGACTAGTCTAAAGTTTTTATATGTTTCTATTTTTATCAAAACTGAGTCCTACTGTTGCCTTCATAATTGCTATGAAATGTCTCAATTTTCACAAATTTCTTTACCATGTTAGATTTTTTTAAACAAAATTTAAGTATTCTTTATGTTAATACGGCGATGACAAGGACATGCTTCATTAGTTTTTCATGTAGAAATGTAATTCTGCCAAACTTATCTATAAGTGAAGAGAATATAACCTAATGTATTAAATTTTTGGTGAACATTTCTGATGAATTACATGCGACACCAACAAATTCATAAACAGCCTATTATGTATAAAATACTTGAGATGCTTGTACATGTCACAACTCTTTAGAAATCAAAATTTCTAAACTTTTTACTTAGAATAAAAGGTGATAGGAACCTAGCATGCTTAATAGCATACAGTAATATTATACAGTATACAATATATACCCTACATGTATAATGGCATCCTTCTAGTAAGCAAAGATAATACTTCACATTTGTGTGGGGTTTTAAAATTCAGTTCTCAAAGTTTCTATTGGTGTTGCTATAGGTGTTTATAAACTGCATTTAATTCATCATGTTATCAAGATTCACTTAATAATTCACGGAGTCTTGTCACTTCTTTTAAACTACTAATATTATTTCAATTCTTCTATTTGTATAGAATGAGTTGATGACTACTAACCCTTAGGGATTTAGATTTGTGTTGTTTCTTGGTACTCTCTTCTATAATCCTCAAGTTCATCTTAAGTTTTAACAGATCCTTTGAATTGTTTTGGTAATTCTTAGAAAACTATTGTAGTAGTGACTTTCCTGAACTTTCTGCATTAAAGAAAACTGTATTATTGACTAATTAATTGTATGTTTCCTTGATTAAATATACACATCACCTATCCTGAACATGTATATGCCAGTATTAGTGATATGTATTGAGGGGTAAATAAAAGGTGGAATTGCTGCCTGAATCCTAAATGCTGATAAGTGGAATTTAGTTCTAAATAGTTCAGTGAGCATGAGTTATGTTGCTATTGTGATTACCTAATTCCTAGTCTTTAAATGCTGCCTCATGTTTGAACAACTGCTATTTAAACAATTGTGGTAGAGGAAGTTGTCTACTTTTCAATGTTTACCCATCTTACTTTTGCATTACCGAGACAATGTCTGCTTGAGTGAGCCCTGAACTCAAGATTCTGCTGCCTACAATGTCATGCTTAAACTAAGCATTTCTTTCATTTCCTGGAGCAGGACATATTTTATCAGATTGTCCCACTTTGTCAGTGTTTCACTATTAGATAATTCCTTCACAGGAAGGAAGGATTTCCATCATGTACCAGTGCTAATGGGTCAAGAGATACCTATTTTTCACTTTTGCATGAAGCATAAAAACTCTTCATAACTTTGACAATTTAAGTATCTGTGACAATTAATTCTTTCTCTCAAAAGAGTAAAAATTATAATGAAGAACAATACATTTTCTTAAAAGAATGAAGTAAAATGGTCTTTTTAAATAAAATTGTAATTCATTTTTAACTGAATGTTTTTTATCTTAAGTGAATAAAGATTAAGATTTCTGAGGCAGAACAATCTACTTTTGCAATTCTAATATTACAAATATTCAGAAAATATTTGGCAATTTTCTATATACTAATATAGTTTAAAATATTTAGATTATTTTTCAATAATAAAAATGGATACAAACATGTTTAACATTTAAAAATTTAAAAATCCATTAGAAAAATCCAGTACTTTGGCCATATGGCTATGTATTTTATCAATATGTGAGTAGACAATAAACTTCACAGGTCTAATCTTAGTAACACAATCAAAAACAAGTCTTTAAAAATACTAGTCTTTCATATATCAAGTAGGTTCGATTTCAACTATTGTAGAACAAAATTTTTCAATAACTTCCCCTTGTTTATGTATTTTTATGACTTCTTTTAATCAATTTGTCAAAGTCTGACTTCTTGGACACACTCAACCAACAGGCATTTTCTGGAATATAGTGGTATTATGTTAGTGCTTTAATATTATAGAAGAGTTCACTAGTTGTCTGGGACATACTAAAAGCATGTGTTTGAAACTTGAGAACTTGAGATTATATTTTTATAACAGATAAATTAATTTGACTGTACCAGTTAGACTCACAGTCTCCATAGCAATTGGGATAAATAGAAACCACATATAGATTGAACTTGTGGTATAAGAGTACCATGCTTGGGGTAAGCAACTTGTTGAAGGCTACTAACATTTGAAATGAGAATAAAAGTTTACATGTGTACTGTTTATTTTCTCAACTCAGGCAAATATATAGGAAAATTAGGTAAATACAATTCATTTATTATAGCTCAATTACATCAATTATAACTCTGTTGTAAAAATATTGCTTTCAGTGAATTAAGAAGACAGGAGACATATAATAATTATCACATGCCTTGATTTAACTATGAACAACCAAGCATTGTATTTCAAGTCTATCAATTGATTACTTACCTCCATAATGCTGCATAGACAACTGCTAGGGTAATCAAGGCCAAGCAAGAAAGACCACTGCCTACTATTAGGGTAACTGAAGGTGTGCCAGAGGATTCCATGATCTGTGAATTAAACAAAACAAAAAAGAAACAAATTGGTTTTTAATGAATTAAAATAACTTCTAGACTCAGCAAAGCTAACCTATCACTCAAAAATAGCCTATATAGTTGTTATAGTTACCAGATAGTTACCCATGAATCCACTCTGTTCTCACATTCTCAACCTCTAAAAATACTAATTCCAGCTTCCCCCTCTCTCCAACTGTGAAGTAATAAAGTCATAAGTGTTTTAAATAGTGGATTATGGAATATTACATCCTTATAACTTTTGAAAATCAAGACCTAAAACTACAACTTGGTCAACATTCACATGTTAAATTTTCTCTAGCTAAAATTTGAAGCATCACTCATTTTTCTTTAACTAACTGCAGGTTAGTCATTTCACAATAAGATTCTGGGTAAAATTTATCTTGATCCTACCATTTACAACTCATTATGATACCTATATCTGTATACAGATACTGAAGATTTTTCAAACTTTCTCACTTTTTGACAACTTTATTCTAAGTCAAGTATTCCCACATTTAATTGTACTTGCTTGGCCTCTGAGGATATAGAAGAAAATCAAACATCAAATTTAAAACCTTTAAGTATATTTTGTGACTTTTTTAATGGCCAAAATATGTGGAGATAATTATTACAATGCCAGTATCAGTCCCTAAATACATGACCTTGAAAAATAAGCTTTCTATCTTTTAAAACATATATAAAGATTACATGCATTCACTGATCTGGAATGTGTCTTTCTTTGGACACTTACATGACATTAATTAATTAAATTTGTTGGTTTTCATATTGTTAACATTGGGAGTTTGAAGGAATACACTTTAAGCGTGTTCTAAAACCTCAAATATGCACATCAAATTGTATTAGTTTTTATCATCAAAATTAGTAAGAAGAGTGATGCCTATTTAGGCCAAATGTAAGCATAATGTCACATTTACCTGAATAATAATTGTTCAGTATTCATTCTGAGTTATATTTCCTCAAAATACAATTTATGAGAATATTATTTTTCTTTCAGACAGTTATGTACAACTGTCTCTTTCAGAAAGTATTTTTGAAAAACCATATACTATTAAGGAATAATTTTACAGTTCCTGACAGCCATGCTTTCATAAAAACTTCATTTGATTAACATATATATTTCTTTATTTATATTTACATCCAAGGACACTTCCAGAAAACCTGTACTGAAAATATCCAATGCAGATATGCAATGTGTTTCACTATAGTGTCTGGGGTCTTCATTCTACTACTAACAATACCTTCACAAATTCACCAGAACATCTTTCCAGCTTTAAAATAAAGGTTAAGTTGACGATTATTTTTATTTGAAAGTTTGCAGCATATTAGTAATATGATTGGACTACATCCTTAAAACTACACTGCAGAAATTTCAAGTTAGAAGACATAAAATTGAGTAGAATTTAGTTATAGAATACCAACTAGAATTCATTCCACCAAGCTACTGTAGCTAAGGAGGAGACGAACCCAATTTTGCCACCCTGCAACATTTTTCATTTCCCCATTTAAAATGCAGTTCCCTGGAGAAACACTAGCCACAATGTCCCTGCCTTTGCATTAAAGCCGTGTTTTCTCTTTGTTACTTACTATTTCTCTAGGTTGCTGAGCCAAAATGGCGAAGGTAGAGAGACGATCACATAAGCATTTCGTATGGGATGCATCGGTAAGCACAGTTTTACATCCCTGGGTGGACCACGTTCCCAAAGACTCGTTCCTGCAAAGGGGAGTGAAGGGGGAGGAAATCGGGATAAATACGCCTGATAGCCAAATCCGTAAAGAAGAAAATGCAGTTTAATTGAGAGAGTCGTCTACTGTAATTCCTGTACAGGAAAAAATTCTACTTGTTGTTGAACAGGATGTAATTTAGATGCATCTCCAGTAATGCAAAGCGAGAGTGGGAAAAAGCAAGCAGGCAGCGGTGCGGCGTGCAAAGAGCTGTCCAGCGCCGGAGGTGCTGAAACCGGGACTAGCTCTGTCCAGCCCTCTGCGAGGAACAGCAGCGGCAGCGGCGGCAGCACGAGCAGCCGCCAGAGCGTTGGCAGCCACTTCCTATGCTCATCGGATCGTTTCAAATACTCAGGGTGTAAAGAGGCTTTTCATATTTTCCTACCAGCTCTGATTCCCGTCCCATATTTTGGACCATAAATGCTGGCTTTTAAAATGCGGATTTCTTTGAAAAGCCTGACTAAAAGGTTACATAGCTTGGATTGGGTGATAGGATCTTCTCCGCTGCTGGTTAGGGATTTTTCCTCCTTTTAGAATAGCTGCTGTGAAAATTTCACCCTGGAAACGGGAAGCAGCAGCAGCGGCATCAGCTGGTTCTGACTCTCATTGCCTTTGCCTGGTATCCAGGGGAGGGGTGGGTTTCAGACATAAGCTTCCTACTCCACACTTCACTCAGTCCAGCTCGCCTCTGACGTCCTTGACATTTCTTTCCCTCAACTGCTTCTTTGCCCTGGGGCAGAAGCATTAAGCTAACCCCAAGTCCACTAAAACATTTAGAGGAATAACCCCACCCCAAAGTCCAGTAGGAGTGGGGAAGAGAGCCTGGTTCAATTTTCTCTTTGGTGTAGCCATTTAAAAGGCTAAAGCATATGGTTTATTTCTCACCCCAGCAGAACAATAAAAATGGTATCAACCTACGTCTTCTTCGTGGTGGGAGGGATGGGGGAGAACCCTTCCACCCCCAGCTGAACTACACTACAGGAAGAGAGAAAAAGAAAAAAAAATGCTATAGAGCTCAACCAATCAACTTTATTATCATTACACGTGTTCTGTACTGAATGCACCAATTGTCACTCCCCTCCCCCAGGCATGGAAATTCTCCAGCTAGCAAACCTGTACGTTTGTGTGTTTAAATTTCAAACCAAGTTACTATCTGTGTTAAAAATTACTTCAAAACTTTAAGAGAAAAACACATGGCTTGACGTTAATTTTGATACAGTGCTTTTGATTTTGCTTCCTCCATCTCCGAATGCCTGAAGCTATTGGGTTAAATATGCATGCAGTCTATTTCAGAGAGATTTCAATGAGACAAGTTTCTCTCTGACAGTTGAACTTCCAAGTTGAGTTACAGAATATAATTCACACTATCCTTTTTTGGTATCTACCAGCAATAGATTTTTAATATTCATTATTTGATATCATTAATATTTGACTCAATATACTCTTAATTACAACTTCTCTGAAGAAGAAAATGCACTGTACTTGAAGAGAGTTAGATAAAAATTATACCTAACTTTACCCCAATACTTCTAAGTATTGGCCATTTTTGAATGTGTTAGGTCTCTTTTCTTTCTCATAATGTCATGCAACCATGCCAATTTTTTAAAAAAACAGTTATACTATCAACTGCAACAGTATTAAACTCTAATTCTCCCTAACTGTAGCAGCACATCAATTTACTTCATTAGCTGTCTGTCTCTTATCTTCTTGCGACAAACAGTTAAGGCCAAATGAAAAGCATTTATCTCAGCTGATCAAAGTTTAAAGAAGAAAGATATACTTAAGAGAATCTGACATGTTTTAAAACATTTTTATTCATACTGGATGGCAGCTTTACTTTAATGCAGTATCTATGCTTTCAAGTGGAGTCCAGTACTTACACTTTTCAATTATGTAGCTATGCCTAATAAATCAATTCAATATCTTAACAAGAAAAATCTTTCTGTAAATAAAACCTCTTAGGAGACAAGTTATATACTTATATCCATGTAATTAGACTTCATTACTCAAGATGATGTTAGCATCACCAAACTTTGACTGCTACATATGAAGTCTATATTCAATATCATGTTGCTAGATTCTGAAGATCATGTAAATTTTATATGACATGTTTAGAAATGTGATTCCATTTACTTTACTTTGTACAATGATTACATTGCTGACCTGGCCCAGCCCCAGGCAAAACTGGGAAGTAAGTAATGCTGGTGTTCATGTTTCAGTCCTTCACTCACTCCAAGCATGAAATGTTTCTACTCTCACTGGGGCCCTTTTCATGCACACTTTCTTGAGGCTACATCACCTCTGTCCTTATCATTCTTTAGAACTATATTCCCTTCATTGACTTTATCTGATTAAACTAATGTACAATAGCGTCTGAGTGAGTGAGTACAGCTTAATGTGCTTTCCCAAATTTAAAAGAAGATATATAAAACACAATACTGCATCTGCTAGGAGAAGAGCAGAATTTGGAGCAGGTAAGTAGGAGAGAAAATCTTGAGAGGTGAGGAGGGGGGTAGGTAACAACCAAGTTCTGCATTTCATCACTCCCAAGATATAAGTAAGATGTGTGATATCATTCTGATGATAAAATTTATATTGTTTCACTAAAACTCTTGGTATTTTTAAATCAAATAAAATTCATGAGTTTGTTTTTTTAACTCACTAGCATACATATAACTATTATTACAAACTCTATAGTGTGTGTTGTCTGTATTTTCAAACTTTTCATGGTTTATTCCTACTGTAAAAATTTATTTGAAAGCATGGTACACATGTCTGATTGATTTCAGGGAGTCCTTGTAAAGCAAACTGATAAGTGGCAGAGCAAATGTGAAGCAAAACACCTTCTCCATTCTGCACAGAGCAAGATTTCTGAACATGTGAACTATTCCAGCAGTCACCTTATTCTTCCAAAGTCATAGTTTTGCATGCTATAACAAATGTAAATCTGTGCATTATTCTTAATTATGGAGTCTAGTTTATTATCAATAGGGTAAACAAAAACAGTAAAATATACATGAAAATTAAAGATACAAGAATAACTGATGATATCAGAAGCAAACACAGAATGATGATGTGGGCATATACATCATACCGAAAATCACATATTTACTTTTCATAGTGTCTTATCTGGGCATTAAGTCACATTTTTTCCCAAATGGTTTTCAAACGTAAGTATGTTTGCAGAAATTCCATGCAACCAGCACATTCTTTGTTGTCTACATCTACATTCACCCATGTTAGCTATTAGCTGTCATCTGTACCTCTTTTTCTTCTCCCTATTACTACTGAATTAGCCTGGCTAACAGAAGGAGCCTTTCTGTCCCAAATATTCAAAAGTACATATCCCAAAACACAGAATTATGTGAAAATATAAGACACAAAATCTATTACTTTCTAGCTTAATATTTACTTGATGGCTTTCCCCAATTTCCTAGGAGTCTACATGGTTTCTTTTTGGATCTGAGTATTTGGTTGAGTTTTTGGTTTCATGAAGTTTTAAAACAGGTGTTTATATTTTCTGGCCTTTAAAAGTAAAGGGAAAAAGTTATCAGCTTACTCCAATGAAAAGCTATTTAGTAAAAAGACTGACAGCAAAAATTCATAGGGACACATTTTAAAACTGTTTCAAGAAATCATACTTTTGATCTTTCCAAATACCAATAAAACTAGATATTCCACTTCAATCTTCTATAAAACTGTTTATTCTCTTCACAGTAAATCAGCATGCAAATTATTTATTATGAATAAGTTATACACTTTAGGAATTTTATTAACTCTTGGGATATTAGGAGCACATTTATTCAAAATCAAAATAGCTATAGTAGCATTTTTTTAAAACTTACACAGAATTTCTTACGACACTACCCTCACATTGTATGTGTACTGACAGAAAGTCATTGCTTTCCAAATCATAATAATAGTTAATTTCTAAAATTTAGGTAAATTTATATTACTTTTGGTGCATATGCCATAACCAAATGATGTATATATGGCTTTTGGTATAAATTATTCTCATAATATAGAAGGATTTTTAGTTTAGATGTGAAAATGTTCTCAATTTTGAGCAGGAACACTCTTTGAAGTTAATTTCTACTTTAAAGGACATTGCAAATATTGAGAACACTGTTTTTCCAGCAACTGTTACTATGTCAAAATATGATGAATCATAAAATTAGAAAATTTTACTAGCAGTAACCTTATTGATCATCTAGTCCATTGGTTTTCAACACTAAATGTACATTAAAATTACCTGAAGATCATTGAAAATTAAACCCTATGATAGGGCTTGGGATATTACTTTTTAAAATGCCCTTCAGATGATTTTAGTATGCAGTCAGGGCTGAGAACCACTGATCTCTTCCAAACACTTAGTTTTATAGATAAAGAAAGTGAAGTGTAGTTAATTCAGAAACTTGTTTTAAGTCACAGAGTGAGAAGCAAAGCTAGGCTTTTCATTTCCAGGTGAATTTTTAATGCTAAACTTTTATTGTAAACTGTTTAAAAACAGAATGTACTGAACATGTCCTATGAAATTATAAGAAGATGTAAAGATCTCATATAGTAAACACATATTTTATGATAAAAAGAGTAACACCAACATAAAGCATATATATGCACTTCATTCACTTGGACGAGATTTAGGAGCAGGCACTTTCCCATCACCAGAAGGGACAGTTGTCATCCACTATGCTGGGCCTTGAGTTAATAGCAGTTCCTTCATACCATAACACCGGTGTTCTAATTTGTTATCTAAAAATTAACTAGTTCCAGGAATTCTCTAAACATAGGTCTTCCCCCATGCTCCTCTATACCTGTTAATGCTTTCCATTCAACACCATAATATTAGTTGATACATTCACCTTGCTTTCTTTCATTTATAAAATTAACACTCTACATGCCATATTAGAATACTAGTGCTTTTGAGAATTATGTGAACTTTGAATCCCTGACACTGTTTTTCACTTAGTAGTCTTAATAACAAATGTTCAGTTCATGTAATGATTTTTTTTTCCTTTGAGACAGAGTCTTGCTCTGTTGCCCAGGCTGGAATGCAGTGGCACGATCTCAACTCACTGCAACCTCTGCCACCTGGGTTCAAGCAATTCTCCTGCCTCAGCCTTCTGAGTAGCTGGGATTAATTTGGTAGAGATGGAGTTTCACTATGTTGGCCAGCCTGGTATCAAACTCCTGACCTCAGGTGATCCGCCCGCATTGGCCTACCAAAGTGCTGGGACTGCAGGCATGAGCCACCGCACCTGGCCCATGTAATGATCTTTTACCTTTTAATGGATGACTTTTAATACTGAGTTTGATCTAAACAGATTATTTTTGTTGTAAATCATTTACTGTCCTTTAGCATATAGCAGACATGTAATCTGAAGAATATCAATAGCTCTTAATAGGGTCTTCTACTTGCTTCGGTCTTCAAATGTCATTTAATGACGAACTCTGTAAGATTTCAGCATCCTGTGGTGATTATGTTCAATTCAACAGTGAGGCTTGAAACTTTATTAACCAGTCAATATGTATTTAGTGAGTGCTTTTCAAATACCAGATGAAGTAGAAGACACATGAACAAAATGTAGTTAGCTTCTTAGAGAAGCTGACAGATGACTATACACAATCTAATAAAGTTTTTTCTGCCTAATTAGTTCTAAAAATTATTCCAGAAAGTGTTGTCAGTTCTATCCTTCTATTTCAAGCCACCATCATATCTCGCCTGGGATAATCTCTTCATTGGGTTTCCTGCCACTCACCCTCAAGTTTGATTTCAATAAAAAATTCAGAGACATCCTGTTGACAAATATGTAAACTCCACTAAAAATTGTGTCACTCCTTTGAAAACTATCAATGGTTTTTTCT